AACTGATACTTCAGTTACTATAAAATTACATAAATTTGTCCCCAGTGCTGGTGTTTATGCAAAGAGGGGATGAAACTGTTCCTGCCCCTCTTGGTACCAGTCTGGGTCCAGCCTCAAACTCCTGCCTGAGCTTTTAAAAAGCAGTAATTCAGACTCTGCTGTCTTTCCACTCCTGTAAAATCCAGTTCTGTAGCTTAACCCAAAATTAAAGATCCATTAAGTCACAGTTGATTGCAGTGGCAGGCTGAGGGCACTGCTCTGGTTTGTAGCCTTATTTACACTCAGAAGGCTACTGGGGCTAAAATGCATCTCAAATTCTGCATCTTCCAGAAACAACCCCAGCTCCCAGGCAGAACAAATACAGTATAACAGAAAGCAGAAGAACCCTGTATCAAAATGTTGCACAGAGCATTGATTTTTTTTTTTATTTTTATTTTTATTTTTATTTTTATTTTTTTTTTTCCAAGGGACAGCCCTGGGATTTTTCTGCAGAGCTGTTGTGCTGCCAGCATACAATTTGCTCTACTTGCCCTTTTGGTTTTAATGTCCCATTAATAATGCATCTCTGTATTTATTGCAGTTTGCATTACTGTTCCACTGTTACTTCTTGATCACTCATTATTCTGTCTGTAGTGCCAGGCAGGGCTCCAAAACCCAAACAACAGCAGCAGTGTTACTACAGACCAAGCCATGAGCCCCACCAGACCCAAAGCAGCTCCACGGAGGGGGATCATTTATCTTCCCAAAGCTGGCAGGGCACACTGCACCTAGGAAAACAGGAACAGCTCTACATCCTCTCCATCTCTGTGATCAGGCCTAGAACTTTTCCAGGGCAGTTTGGACAGTCAGCTCTGTCGAGGGATCTAAGCCAGGAAACTGTAAAACATCATTAATGAGCAGCTTGCTTAATCCTGGCTGTGTGGCCTCCAGTGTAACAGGAGCAGGAACAGGAGCAGACTGGGGATGGCTCTGGCTGACAGCTCAGCTCAGCAGTGCAGGCCTCTGTGGAGGATGCTCTAATGATGCTTCCCTGATCAATTTTGCATTCTCAAAAATGCTGCTCAGCTGCCCTTTGACCTTGCAGCCAGCAGGGCTCTGTGGGTACCTTCATTTCCCACCCTACAGCCCTCTGAGCACCCCATTGCAACCCCGTGGAGCTCAGCATCCAGGACTGGGTATCACAGTACTGGTGTTCAATTCCCACTGGGAGCATCTTCAGGCCTCCTCAAACCCATATTGCTCTGTAAATCAGAATAAATATGGAAAGGCAATGCTGAAGGAGCTGGGGGGTTGCCTCACAGGGGAGTTACAGTGCTCACAGGGCTTCATAACTCTCTTATCCCTGAGGACTTACCACCTCTGTCATCACAGGAAAATGCCTTAAATCCTGGAAAAGACCTAATTGCAATACTGTTTTGAGGCAGGATTTCTCTCTGCTCTTCTGTATGAGGCTGCACAAACACAAGGAGAAAGGTTTCTCTGGTCTTCCAAGAAAACTCTAGCTTCCCCTCTCTGCCTCTGGGAATGGAGCTGACCTCCTTCTGCCCTTGTCCCTGTGAACAGCATGTTCTTTCCAGCAGCAGCAAGGAGTTTTGGAGCAAGAAAATAGAAATTTTACTGTAATGGTGGTTAGTGCACTCTGGAGGGGGGTTTGAAGCCCCCAGGGCACTGCAGAGAGCCCAGAGCAGGGCTCTCACAGGCATGACCAGACACAGGTCACTGTCTCTTCCCTGGGTGCACTGTCAAAGAACTCACCTTTGCTCTCTCTTAATTGTATTATCCACAAAACAAAGCAAAACTCAGGGGTCTTTAGGTTGAAGCATCACCCATGCTATATAAAACAGCAAAGCAAAGCAGGGACTGATGAGGCACAAAGTTCCTGCTGTTCCCCTCCAGCTGAGGGTTGCCATGCAGGAAGCTGTGGGAAGCAGAGCCAATTCTCCCCCACCCCTTCACATCCACCCCAAAGATCAAGACTGCCACTTTCAGCTCCAAAACCTTCAAAACACTTTTTGGATCTCAGCCCTTAAAGACAGTTCTCACAAGTTCTCCCATCTGACCTAATCCCAGAGAAAGATTTTTGTTCTGGCTTCATCCGCCTGCTGCCAGCCACGTCCTGGAGCATGGCCTGGTCACCACAATCTGACCTTGTGGGAAGCGTCCCTGAGCTGCCACATGCTCTCCCACTTGCCAAATTCCTCAGCAGATGAGGTTGCTTCCAGATTTCAGCACTTACTGGCAAGCATCGAGTGGTTTGTCCAGAAAGGCTCCGAGTGATTAAAGATCTCTGGGAGCTGTGTTGTGGCCACTGCCTGGTTACTGACCTACACAAGCACAGCAACATGGGAACCAGTGACCTGGGAAAACAAACTTTTCTGCTCCCTGGCTTCTAATATTTAGCTTTGCTTTTTGAGATGAAAGAAGAACTAATTCCTATTGGTATCCGTTCTCATTGCCCAATTTAGGAGTTTTTAATCATTTACTGAGAAAAACAAGCCTTCTATTATGATTAATTGGACTTGAACACAGCTTGCATTCCAACTCTTGAGCAAATAGAAGCTGATTCACTGTTACCAGGACACTGAAAACATTTGTTATCTCTGTCTTGAAGGTAACAAATCTGCATCAGCAAGTGGGTGTGAACCACAGAATCGTTTGGGTTGGGAGGAACCTTAAAGCTCATGTCACTCCAGCCCTTTGCCATGGGCAGGGACACCTTCCACTAGACCAGGTTGCTCAGAGCCCCATCCAGCCTGGCCTTGAGCATTTCCATGGATGGGGCAGCCACAGCTTCTTTGGACAGCCTGGTCCAGTGCCTGACCATCTTCATGGGGAATTTCTCCCTTACATTTAATGAAAATCTCTTTTAGTTTAAAACTGTGCCCTCTTATCCCATCTCTATTTGCTCAAACATCCCTCTCCCTTATTTATACTCCCTGTTAAGTATTGGAAAGCTGCTGTAAGGTCTCCCCAAAGCTACCTGCTCTACAGACTAACAGTCCCAGCTCTCTCAGCCTGTCTTCATAGGACACACAGGCACATCTGTACAAGCAGGACAGAACCCACAGCTTATGCCCTGCTTGCCAAAGCACACGGGACCAGATGGGGATCACTGCTTCCTCTTTCTGGCTGAGAAACTCCGAGTTCTCCTAATTACAGCTTTCAAAAATTCACTTCCCCAGCTTTCATATCTTCATACACTCAGCAGCCCATCCCTGGAGTGCACATTCAGTCAAGCTTATACCCTTTAGTTTTCAGACAGACTGACCACTGTTATTAATGGACAAAAAGAAAGGGAGAAAATTTGGAAGTTGCTTTTTCTTCCCTCATTCCTCCCGTGTTTTCACAGCATTGGGATATCCTGGCACCCTGAAGTGCAGCAGGCAGCCAAGAGAAGGGATGGTTCCCTTCTTCCAGCTTTTCAATTGTGATCTCCTCCTCTCTACAAAAATCATATCTACTGCTCACTCTTTGGGGTCCTTTATGCCAAAAGTGACTCTCATTTGTCTGTTGCAAATAATCACAAAGCAGAAAGAGCCCCAGCCATTACTGCAGCCTTTTTCCACACTATGTTTGGGGGTAGGTAGTTCACACTTCCTCAAAAAGCACTGTACAGTGAGAGCAATGAGTGCCAGGAGGAAAACAGACACTTTAAAATAAAAGATCTAGATGCATCAGAGGTTCATAGGAAGTGAAAAGAAAGTAAAGTTTCCTAACCACATGAAGCAGGACTTTTTTATAGCCGTTTTCTGCACACAGATGAATTCTAAACAAATCCAAATTCCTTTCTCAGAAAGGGCAGTTGAGATGATCCCCAAGCCAATCTGCTCACACCAGGGACTAAGAGCAATTGCTACCTCAGCTGCTTCTCCTTCATAGTATAAAATAAGCCCATTTATATGCCAAAATATGTACCTTTCTCCAGCCTTGGAGATATGGTCTCTCATCTGAGATTGTGTTTCTCCCCTATCACTTTTGTCCATGAACAGGGACAGCCACCCACTTCCTTTTTCTATCTAAGATGTTGTGTTTGAGACTTTCCTACAGTGCCAATTCTTTCAGTACAATCAAAATCAGGTTTTGGATCCTGGTCTATGCCAATATTTTAAAGGCAACTCAACACTGAAAGGGAAAGTTGGATCATCCTGCCATAGCCTGAGTCCATTTTCCAAAAGGATCTAGCTAAAGAACCATCAGTTACTGGGAGCAGCACTGAGTAACCACTTCACTTGAATGAATGAGTTATTTAGATCAAACTGTTCTGAGCACCAAGGGATGCCACATCTCCAGATAGGAAATGTGGCATGGATGCTCTTCACTGCAGGACTGTGAACATTTTTTGTGGATCCCTCAACAAACAGTCTGTAGCAGTACAGATGTAACCTGGAAGTAAAAGCCTTTTTGTACAATGTTTGTTCTTTCCCATCTGTTTGCTGAACTGTACCCAACTCAGTCTCTCATGATTCTCTGCTGAATGAAGTTTTTGACAAGTACAAAGCAGGTGCTAAGACTGGAGAAAGACACAAGGAAATCTTTCACAGGGATTTCCGAAGTGAAACTGGACACCTGCTGAGTTAACCCATTTGTTAAGCTCCAGTGCAATTGGCAGGACATGTGACACAGCTCTGAGAGGCTGAGGCAGAACAGAGTTAGTCAAGAGACTCCACAGAGGCTCTTTCACAATCCTAAATCAACATGTCCCACTATCTGATCTGATCCCCTTCAGTGCACCCCATGGAAGTGGCCTTCCTCTGCAGAGGTACCGGTGAGAATAATCAGGCACTGAGATCTGTTGGAAAACTTGTCTAGATTGCAGTGAGTAAACTCCAAAGAGCTTTTAGCTACTTGTGTGCAGTGCATCCTGATTAAAATAGAATATATAAATGAGTCTGGTTTCTGAGGAGTTGCAAACAGCCCTGGGTCACATGATTTTAACAGCCAGCAGAGTCAAAAGTGAACGCCCCTTGGTAACACAACCACATAATACAGCATTCAGAATATTTCTTCACAATTTATTTTATTAAATAACCTCTTTGATACAGAATATTTAAGCAAAAATAGTTTAAAATTTCTGTTTTGGTAATTCTTACAGGAGTCTTTTGCATAGTCACTCCTACAGCAGCTCATGTTGGCATTTAAGGAATAAAACTTTAGCAAAAATCAAATCTCTCACTGTGTGAGATCTATTCTACCCCAAGAAGTTAAAAGAACATTGGAAAATGCCTATAGAAACTGTGAAAACTCTGAATTCCACTCTTCAGCTAAAAGAAATTTAAGAACTGTGTCACAGACACATTCTTCTTAATAAATGAAGCAGCAGAATAGGAAAATGCATTCTCTGAAGTTTATACAAGTTCATGTCAGTGCATCCCAGGGCAGCAAAAGGAGAGGAAATACCTCGAGCACAATGCTCCAATGCAGTGTTGAGGTTCAGCACAGCAGTGCCCAGCTCCACCTGCCAGTCTGGAATGCTATTTCCAGTACTGGAAATCTGTCATGTTAATGACCACGTGGCAACTGGCACTACCCCACTCTGATGTCAGACAGCCCCACAGAAGTCAGACAGCATAAACAGATTCTGCTTTCACTTCTGCCTGCCAGAACAGCTGCACAGCCCCAGACTAACTCCTGCATTTTATTCTTTTCTATATAAACAACCTCATTTTCCACATTGATGAACTGTAAATAAGTGTATCTTTGGATCAAAAGATAGCTCCTATACTCATTAAATAGATAAGGCTCATTGGGTATCCAGATAAGGAAACCTATTGGCACAGGAAAGGCATCTGGAGACACAGCTCGTGCCCTCACTGCGTAGCTGTGGAGCACGTGCAGCTCTCATGATGAACATTTCAACCAGATCCTCGGGTTCCCACCAGAACTCTATGCCAGGGGCTGCTTGAGGTCAAACAAGCCAGTTCCTCCTTTGACAACCTTTCCAACCACCAGGCAGGCCGAAGGGGATCGCAGCTCATCGTGGGCACCTGCAACAGAATTCACACAAAATCCTATCAGGAGGTTCCCAAATGTTTCTCCAAGGTCAGTGCTGGAAAGAAACCATTTTGGTTCATGTGCAAGAAGCCATCTGGTTCAGCACCCCCAGGTTCAGAAAGGTTCTGCCACCTGCTGTTCACACTGAATTGGGATTTCTGGGAGTTTAGAGGCCAGAATTCTTTCTAACGCTCCTACAGCAACTATTATCTCATTCCCATCTTCGGTCCAAGCAAATAATTAGGCCACACATTACTAAAATCTCCAGATTCCACATGGAAAGACAAAACAGTCTGAATTCTAAGAGAACACAGATTTGACCTTCCAGTGGACACATCCTGGTGACTAAATAGGTCACTAAAAAATACATGTGAGGCAAAACCAGAAAGATTCCCTTGTCATTGCTGCCTTTTTCCTTTGTTAGCATGAATCCCTTTGATGTGTATTTTAAATCCCTCTGGCTAGATATGAAGAGAACTTTTCACTGGAGAGACATTCCCTGAATTCCTCTGATTTTGTGGTTACTCACTGTAGCGAAATAGTGTCACAGAAATTTGGAAGCACTCCAGATGACATGTCTGGCTGGGATTCTTTTACTTCCACTGTTTTTATAAGCATTCAGGCTGGTTTTCATTCATCCTAACTACAGCAAGCTGAAAGTTTATCATTAGAGCAGTAGGAAATCGGAAATAAAACTGTTAAACTTCTGCTAGGTCTGGTTATCTTTCTTCCACTGAGCAAAATGTACCCAACATTGCATCATGCAGAGGGTGGGGGCAGGAGCATAGACAGCACTGTGTATGCCATGTGCTCCCTGCTCTGATCTCAGCCACAGCTGGATAATTAAATAGCTGCTCCTAAATGTGTGTCAGCTGAAGAAAAAAAAAGCCCCTTTGTTAGATGGTTAAACAGGACAGTCCTGCTGCCCTGTTTGCTCATGTGATGTGAACAAAGAGTCATTCTCTGAGCAAACAGCCCAGGGGATCTCTCTGCTGATGCAGTTTGCTCCCTGCACAAGGAGCTCTGCTGAGCAGCCTGTGCTCCAACAGCCCTGCTCACCTCAGCTGTGCACATCCTCACAAGCCTCCTCCTCCTCTCCTTCCTACTGCTCAGGGCTCCTTTCCTTCCACTGCTTCCTACTGCTCAGGGCTCCAGGGCTCCTTTCCTTCCCACTGTTTCCTACTGCTCAGGACATCAGCCCTAGGCACCCTCACAGTGTCTCTTGAACTGTACAGTCAAGTTATCAGTTACATTAAAGCAAATTAGATCCAGGCTGCTGCAATCCCCATTATGACTGATTTCCAGCGTGGTGAAATCATTAACTCCCTCTGCTTGCAATCAGTGCAGTTGCTGCCAAGCCACCCTGCCCTTCTGTCAGCGTGCACTGAATGTCTTCATTCATAATATTATCCATACATTACATTTCACTTGGCAAAAACCTCCTCTGATTTAATTTCTAAGTCACTATGTGATACAACAAAAATCCAGAGGGTGAAACTGAGTGAGAAACATCCTCTTCTCTTTAATTTCACCCTGGATTTACACTTTTCCTTTACAATTTTCAGATTAATTAAGTCAATTGTAACCAATGCTGTTAACTAAAACCCAATTTTTCTTCCCAGAAAAAGTATAAAACAGCATTAGCAAAAAGGAACTCAGTGATAGAAGTATTTCTGATGTCAGTGCAAGGCAGTTTCAGACAGGAGCTGAAGAGATGTTGAGAGCTCTCCCCATTTGTAACTGGAAGGACACAGCACAGCAGCATCTGCAAAGCAAGCATCTGACTGGCAAGTGACAGAAACCAAGTCTGTTTGCAAAAGGGAGATGTAATTAGTATCCAAAGGCTGAGATCATAGAAGCTTTCAAATGACAGACTTAAAGCATGAGGCTTTTTGATAGAAGGCCTTAAATGCAGATGGCTAGTGCTGCTCCAAATGTCCTAAATGATCCACACAGCCCTGTGACTCTACACCTTCCAGAGAGACAACTGAGGGAAGGAGGATACTCTTGGGAATCCCAAATGGCACCAAAAATCTACCACTAGAAAAATGAGTCTGACTCTTTGTCTTGTTTGAGGGAAAAAAGCAAAGATGAAGTGCTAAATCAGAGTAACAGCCAGGTCTGTTCTCAAAATAAAATGCTGAATAGTAAGGCTGGAAAAGATATGGAAGTTATAACATGGGCACAAAAACAAAGCAGAGAAGACAATTTTAAGAGTAGAGACAGAAAAAGGCAGATTTAGTAGTCTGTTATAAAGCTTAGCTATAACATATCTTAACAACCTTAAGGTTTGTTCTAAAAATGCCCATCTACTTCTTAAAGAAAGGAGTCACAGACCCCACAGATTACATGTGGGAGCTGGCTTTATTTAAGCTGACAGAATTTTACTAAAAACATCTGGAACATTTTCCTAGGCGAGGGCTTATTTAAAATTTCTGCCTCTGGCACTTTTTTCTAATGCAATTATGCATTACTCAAAATACTGGGAAGTTATGACAGAAAGCAAGCATATGTGAAATGCTGCAGCAAGAGATCTCAAACTAAACCATTTACCCATTATTGTTGCATCCTTCAAGAATTTGTAGCTGGTTTCAAACGTCATCTGTTGCAGAGGGGAGGAGTTGGACTGAATTCCAATGCGATTCAGTGGTTTATAAATTCCTTCAAAACACATGTAATCTGCCACAAGTGAAAGGTGTCGAGGGTCTACCACAATTCCTGAAAACACAAGCAAGACCAATCATCAGAGCATTCAAAGGCTAAGTCTGTGGGGCTTTTTTAACAAATCAGGTCTAAATTAAACCCTTTGAATCCAAGCAGCTTGGAGAACATCTCTATTAACATTCTTCTGGCAGCGTGTCTCTGGTTTAACTGCTCCCCTCAAATATCCAAGAGAGGCAGATCTCACTCTAATACAAAACAGTATCTCTCCAAACTGAAATGACAAGAATGGGAAACTGCAATGTCAAGAATGCTGTGAGGCAGCAGAGTTTCTCTACATAAAATCAGCAAACGTCTGCACCATCCTTGTTTGCACAGGAGGGGATGACATCCATCCATCTGGGAGGGACAGAGCTCCTGCCTCTCACCTGGTGGCCTGGATTAGCTGGGCCCCAGGGTCAGAAAGGCTCTGATGTCCTCTGTGCATAACATCAGGCATTCACAGAAAAAACCCTGTTTAGGCTAAAAAAAATGCACTTATTCCTAAATAACACTTGTGGACTCAGTGTAATGGGGGTCATTAACAGCTCTGTCAACATTTACTGAGCAGCTCTTGAACAACTTGAAGGTCAGACCATTCTGGGCCGCCAGCTGGCAAATCTGTTTGCTATAACTGCTTGCTAGAATTCCCACTGTATTAATCTTCCCTATTTCCAATAGTTCATTCCATAGCAAGACTCCACTCCAGTGAGTGCCTATGAAGTCATGCAGCCTCCCCAGGCTGGGCTCTCTGAATCATCTAAATGAGAGAAGAACATTCAGACAATGCAGTGCAGCTGTTTTAGGAAAGATATAAAAACTCAGGAGCCTAGATTCCCATCATTAAAAAGGCAAAGTGAGGCAAGGTTGATCCTCCTCTCAGGGCCACTGCACAAGTCTAACAGTTGGCTTCCTCAGACATTAATAATTAATTGGCCTGAAACTTGCAGCTTGCAAAAGATATACCAGAATGGAGAATAAATTCAACCTCACCTATTTCCTACTGATTAAAAGAAAACTAATAATTAACTAGCAAGATCTTCACAGAAGACTCTAAAATAATTAAAAGAATGAAAACCTGCAACCTAAAAATAGGCACATAAATGAAAAAATCATGCAAGACCAAACTGAAAGGATGTAGCTGCATTTTCCTATGTTAATAGTATCAAAGACTATAAAAATACAAAGAAATCCTACCATATACAGCAAATACATCTTTTATTTCCTTTATAATCACTCTCAGGGCTGATTCAATTCCATAATTCTTAGCCATGGCATGGATATCATTGCAATAAAGTCTGTTCAGGTCCAATATCTGAAAGCAGAAAAAACAGAGATACAAGTTAGGACAACAGTTGCCCTGTATTTCTAAACAACTTAAGCTAAGACAGACTTTTTTTCTCCATTTTTTCATGAGCTTAAGCAGCACCAACAGTTACAGAACAACTAGCAGCAGCTTAGTTGTCAAACACAGAGAAAAATGATTCTGAGAATTTGTGTTAAGCAGCATTAAATAGATTAATAGGAGCACTGGAGTCAAAATTCACCACAGGAGAAAATTAACTGAAATCACAAAAAGCAAGCTAACAAAACACACCAGAAAACAAATTAAAGTCTTCCAAACAACACAATGCAATGCTCAGTGTGTCTCAGACAGCCAGAACTTTTAGCAGAACAGAAGATGCAGATTAAAACAATCCTGTATTTGGAGAGCTATGGGCTAGATGGGATAACAGAACTATTCATCTCCAAGCACTGCAATTCATTGAGATGGAAGAACTCCCTCAAGTAACATTTAGAGAGACATGAGAGAGAAGAATGGTGTGAAATCATCTGTCATTAGGCCCTGGCTGCTGCACAAACACTGATTTGCAAGCTGCCCTTGAGAAAAGGCTCCACTGAATACATCTGGGGATAAAAAGGAGGAGGAAGACAGTTCAAGAGCTGAAAAGGCTACAAATCACCCCTGAGAAACTGAAATGACATCCATCATCCACCATCTCCCCCAGAACACAGAACAGCATTGAAGTCTGGGATTAGAAATGGATTACACACATCAGAGTATTTGAAGAGCTCTGCCAGGTTTATCCCTTCTGTCTGGAGAACAGATTCCTTCTCTCCCTCCTTGCTGGTACTCTCGTTCAGCAGGCAGCGTGTGATGCCCTTCACCTCGTGGATCACCGTGCTGCGCGCCAGGGATGCCAGCAGGGAGGAGAGGTCAAAGTACACCTTGGTCAGTGGCAGTGCCAAGGAAACCTGATGGGGAAAAAAACCAACACAGGGTAAGGAGGCTTGGACACCAGGCTCAATGACCAGCACACTTCTCTTCAGGCAAAAAGCTGACAAGTGGAATTACCCTCGTTGTGTGTTAAGGAACATAAATGTCTGACTGGAATTAGAGGTGAATGATGGTAATGTGAACTCCCCATCCCAGGATTGTTCATCCACATTGCTTCTGAGGTCTCTGAACTTACAAGGACAACTTTTGTTTTTTTGGGTTTTTTTTGGGTGGGACAGGTATATGCTTGTTGAGGTTTTTATTTTTTTATAAGATGTTTACATTTTTTTCAACAGTTCAGCCATCACTTTTATTCATCAAGGGCTACACAGCAGACCACCATATACTAAAAGATTAAAACACAGTAAACCTGTCAAAAAATTGTTTTTAGAAAAAGTTACACGAGGTGTTCTGAAAATGAGAAATTACTAAAAATGCCATCAAAAAATACATTTGTTGTGCCACTTTCTGTATTCATATGGGATTCCTGAGACAGAACAGCAGCACTGCACTGAAAAGAGCCATTAGATATGGGAGCTACATGCAACCACGCAGAGATGTTCCACCTTACCTCACACCAAAGCTCATTCTCGGTGTCAAAGGTGTAATCCTGAATGGATGGGTGGCTCTCCACAACAGCGCTCACTCGCACCTCTGCTGACTGAAGCAATCTATCTTTCCCTTTTTTAGTCTGAGACACAATGGAAAGATGCTGAGAATCTTCACCCTCTGCTCTGTTCTGATCCTCTTCAGCACCAGGAGTGCCTTCTTCTTTTTCAGATTCAGCCTCTTCATCTTCTGGATTCTCATTAACGTTTTCTTCCCCATTCTCTTCTTCGCTCTCATAATCAACCTGCAAAGAAACAACACTGTGTTTATCTGAGCCAGAACCTGTACAGAGACACAGCACACCAGGAACAGTTCAATTCTGGAATGTTCTTCACTGCTGAGTTGCAAGGATCTTGCCCCTACGGCACAAATAAAATGCAATTTTGTTGTAAAGAAAATAATACAACAGATTCAGTTCAGTCTTTATTTCTTTACAATCTTACCATTATTTCTTAGCACAGTCCAGGATGCTACAGGATGTTGAGACTGTAGCAGAATTTAGTTTGCTCTCCCTGTGACAGTCCAATTTCTTCCCATAATCCAACTCTGATGATGGGATTCCCTCAGGATTTTCAGTTACCCCACTCTCTTGCTGAAATTACAGCACTCCATCTTTTAAGAGCTGTTTATGAAGTACTGAACACAGAGAAACATGCAGGGAGACTATTTTTTAAGAATCACAGTAAAGTTTTAAAAACAACTAATAGCATGAAATTAGCAAAAGGTAAAGTTAAGGTGAACTTCAGCACAGCCTGACTGCCAGACACATCCACCCAAATGCCTGAAGAACAAAGCTTCAGAAAAGTGCCAAATGAAATCTCTTCAGCCCAAAGCTGACACTTTACTATCTCCTCTCAAGTAGGGTTTTGTTTTTTTCAGCATTTTGTTTCAGTGGAAGCTTTCCTTCCCAAGTCAAACAATAGAAGAAATAGGGAATTAACGAGCAGAGCTGAGCACCTCTAAAGTCATTACCTCTTCTTCCTGGTTCTTTCTCCGTTTTGTTTCTGTAGCATCACCATCCCCTTCATCAGCTTCTGCATCAACAATGTTCTCTTCATCCTCTGCCACAGCTTCCAAACTATTCACTGTCTAAAATTCCAGGACAGACAGATCATCAGGCTGACTGCTAGTCAGTACCAATAGCATCAAAAGGCTTCAGCCAAACATCTGGAATTTAACAATCTCTTGTTCAATGTTCTACCTTTACAGAAAAAATAATTTCTGTATGTCCACTACTATAAAGAAATGAACTCATACTCCTGATAACTTCAACATTTAACAAGATGAATGCCTAGAAGATGGATAAGCTGTCACTCTGCTTTGACAGTCCTTGATGGGAGAGGAGTGAAGGAACATGCAAAAGCATTTCAATGAACAAAGGACCTTCCCCGAAGTTTTGACAACCACTGCTCCAACAGGACTGATCTGGGAGCAAGCAGAGTGATATGCTTTTGTCCCAAAGAAACTAAAATGAACAGGCATTTTCAGAGTACAGTCTTAAGCAAATCAGGATTTAATACACAAAAACTTTAATTTCCTTGTTAATTTTATGAGAATGCAATGACAGTTTATGTACAAAGTATTTAAGTAGTAATTTAGTATTCACACATTTTGTGTGCACTGAAACATGCTACACTTTTCCAATTCTGGTTCTCAACAACAGTGAAAGGAAGTGAGGTGTTTTTCAGGTGATGTTTCTTTGTACCTTGTCTTGGTCATCATCTAAATCCTTCCGAGTTGTCTTCCGAGTGCTGACTTCATTAAAAGACGCCATCTTTGTAGTCTTCCTTTTAATTGCTTCCAGAAGAACTTTAAAGAACCTGACAGAAGAAGCAACTCAGAATGTCAAAGCTCAGCAGTGTCACAGAATATGTGAAGTTGTCAAAAAATTTATCTATTTTGGTTAACAAGCCAGTCAATTCAGAACAGGACATTATTCCCTGCTGGATGCAAAAGTACTTCTAGGATAATGCAAATAATTTTTCTCAGCTCTTTCTCATTCATTTCAGAATCAAAAGGTTGGTGTGATCTCTGTTACTGTCACAGATGTACCTGTGCATCCAAAGCATAAAGTTATACACTCACCTGGATATAAAATCTGCACATCAAATTGACATTCAGAAGAGATGGTTCATTACTGGACTTGAATAATAAATTTGCCAATTTTATTCAAGATATAAAAGCAACTGTGTAAATTTTTTCTGCACATCTACTGGAACTGTTGCTCTAAAAGCCACACCAGCTGTAATCAACCACATGCAAAGCCCATAAAAAGGCAAAAGAAGAGCAAATATTAATGTATCTGAAAACAAACTCACCTTGTTTCCATGAAGTGCAAGATCTGCCTGGGCTTCACACACTTCTCCTCTCGGTAACATTCGTGGGGCAAGAAATGGAATTTGATTTTGTAGAGGCGATGCTTGTTCAGCTTGTGCTTCACATGCAGGGATTCCTCGATGTCCACTTTCTCCAAGACCTACAAAACATTCCCAAGTAGGACTGTTACTCCTTTGATGAAGACATTTCATTTGTTTCCTGCAGTTCCAGTGCTTTCCACAGGAAACTAGAATTACACAAGGCTAACTGGCAAACTTTTCTGAAGGCTTTGCTCCTGGGCAAAAGGACTGTACCCTACTGCACTTTTAGACTTAGTCTTCCCAACAATTAACTCAGACAATACTGGAAAAGCCTCACCTCCCACCCAACTCCTTCACAAGAGATTACCCTTCTCAGGGGCCCTACAGGTTCATTTTACTGACCATGCTCACAGAGCAGGACAGTATTCCAGCATACAGCTAAGTTTTAACTTAACAAAAGTCTCTGATTTTTGCTGCTTTCAACTCGCAAGAGATGAAAAAATAGAATGGGGAGGGCATGTAGGAGAGCACAAGGGTGCACAGCCAGGAAGAGAGGGAACACAGAACACATCCTGGTGTAGGGAATCTCCACAGAGACACGTGTTCTGCTTCTATTGACTACAGCTATTTGTGTGAGATTAGGAAGGGGAGGGGGACAGACAGAAAGGTATCCATCTGAGCTGTATGTCAATCACAGCCAGGTTAGCTTGTCTCCAAGACAAAACAGAATCCCTCCAATTCTACAGACAGAGGAAAAGGTGCTTGAGAAAAAGCCAAAGACTATGGCATAGCAAACTACTGATGAGCTCAAAGAGGAGAATTTGTTTTGCTGACTCTCAAAGGATGCACTGAAAAGGAGGCTCACCTCAGCCAAGCACACTCTTGTGAGCAGTTTCTTAAGCTGTTTCACCTTTTTGAGAGCTTTCTTGGTATTGAGCACAGGAACACTCATCATCGGTGTTTTAATGTTTGAGCTGGCCACCATCAGTATTTCCCTCAACCTTTACACAAAGAAAAATCATTCCAATTAAGCCATAAAAGCATTATGCAAATCAAATAATTATCTGGGTTATTTCATTAGGCAAAATGCAGTAACTGGCAGCTCCACCAAAGCCATGTGCACCCAGAGCTGCGGTTACACAGTGCTGCTCCTTTTCTCTGTTCTGACTCCCCACCAGGCACAGCACAGCAGCAGCCCCACTGCCTCAACTGGATTATTCCCCAGTTATGAGGAGAGATGATAATAAATTGTCCAAGAACAGAAGGATTAATGAGGTCATGCTTCCTTGTATGTTTTTCCCCTCCTGTGCTTCTCTGAAGCAACACAGTCCCCTCCCACCTAAGGCATCCCACACTCCCACATGAGGCCAGGTCAGGACCCACGTTATTCCAAACAAATTGATGATTTGGTGTAAATCAGATTAGAGTAAGGAGTCTTCACAGATATTTAGTATCTGGAAAACAAACCAAAACAACTGGAAAATTGTAAAACATTAAAATATTCTCAACAGGGAAAATTTACAAGTACACTGAGGGACTGTTCACCCTCAACATTCACACATATACCTTCTAGTGAACCTAGCACAATTCTATACCTTAGTGCCTAAAATAAAGGGCCCACTGAGGACATGGCTTTCTCACCTTGGAATACCCAATGTGACATTCATTTCACCTCTGCCAGCAAAGTGGAAGGTGTTTAGAGTCATCTGTGTTGAAGGTTCCCCAATGCTCTGAGCAGCAAGAAGCCCCACAGCTTCTCCTGGGTCACAGAGAGAACGCTGCCACTTTAAATACAACAGATCCTTTAATCTGGAGACAGGAAATGAGAGGTTTAGCTCAACATACAAAATAAACTCAGAAGAGAATGAATCATTGCTCAGTTCAATGAACTTACATATTTGAGACAATTTCTCCTGGTAGCTCACAGATAAATATGCTCCAGAAACTGTAAAATTGTCTATCCCCATCTGATCTGACAAACACAGCCCATTAACACAGAACTTGGGCCTTGGCCAAACTGTTTTAGTTCTGCTGCCAATTCTCAGAATGTCAAAAGAGAGTCCATTTACTCCCACTTGCACTTCCTAACAGCCTTACTAACCCCAAGGTGCATCAAGAGCATTCTTTGTTTTCCAAGATCACTAGAAAAGTATTATTTTATATGTATAGGGACAGCATACATGTATGTATATATATGTATGGGGACAGCATGCTGCTGTTTCAGAGAGGCTTGGAAAATTCAGAGCAGCATGGAAAATTCAGGTTTGGAAGGAACAGATAACCAGAGCCTCTCCATTGCACACTAAACATGTTTAGTTTTCAAGAACCATTTTGAAACCCACTACTTAGCTTCACAATGGCCACAACAGAAACAAGGCTTGGTAAAGACTTCAGTTTTAGCAAACTTGCTCCAAAAGGTATTTTGGATTTTGGCACAGTGCAAAGAAGGCACTCAGAGGTTTTTACCTATCAGAAGAAAGTGCTGGGTGCATGTAGCTCCGGCTGTTCTCAGATTCCCATTTATTGATATAGCCTTCAACTCCCTTTTCAAATGTTTCTGAAACTGATGCAAAATAAGTATCTGGACGCCAAACCCCAAGGCTTGGGTCAGGACACTTATTTGTCTTCTTCAGATACTTCCTTTGTTTCTTCTCATCAAGCTCATACCACATCTTCAACAACTGAAAATAAGAGGAGGTTTTTAGGCTGGCTGGTTTACCCACAGTAAGACCACAAGCAGCAGTGAAGGAGGAAAGGACAACCTGTGCAGAGTGTAAGGGTGTACACACACAGCAAACAGCTCAGCTACAAATATGGTGTTCTCCTTTTTCTGATATTTAACACTTTTGAAGTCAAATTATTTCAAGATTCTTTACGTGCCTAAAAATTTCCCAACTTATGTATCCACAGCAACTACTGCAGAAAGCAGTGAAATAAGGCCTCAAAGAACGATTTTAACTGGGAGTGAACACCCTCAATACACTTAAACCTTTGCTTGTAGCTGACTCTCACCTCACCTGTCCAAAGCTGGCATGAAAAAGGAGCTTATTATCAAAAAGTGTCAAGAGCAACACAAATTCAGCACAGCTCAATAAATGAACCTCTGATTAGTAAAAACAGCCTTTGAAGTCAAACTCACAGAGTCATCTCTCAACACCTTCAACCTGGAGTTTCATGCTCACTGCCCAAGTTCCACCAGGATAAATTCCTTGTGACAGCAAGGCTGTGAAGCAGGACCTGTCTGCATTTTGTGTCCATACACACCATCTTCATGAGGCTTAAGCAAGAGTATTTTTTGGAAAAAATAGGCAGAGCTGGCTCAGCTCCCTGATCTTTGGTATTCAAACAGGCTCTCATCCAGCTAGCAGACAGGTGTCCATGCAAGAGAGATTTGCTTTGTGTACATGAAAAAACCAAATAACTCACCAACAGAAAGAAAAAAATCCCTCAAACTATTCACAAACATGACTTAAAAACACATTTCTAACAACACACTGATCTTTGTTTTTAACCCCTTCCCTAGCATTAGGGCCCTCAGACTTTAATACATCCCAACTTATCACCCACATAGTTGACATGATTCCTTTAAAAGGCAACTTATTTAGTTAAACTGTGAAACACTGTGGAATTCACAGAGCAATTAAACAAAAGATACTGAATTCTGTAACTTCTTTTGAAGGGCTTAATCAGTTCAATTGCCTCTGTGTTACCTGTAAAGTAGCAGGATCTCTTCCATTCTTTATTTCACCTCCTGGAAGCTGTGCTTTCAAACTTGCCAATTTCTTTTGGGAAAACAACAGAAAGCCTCCTTCTCTCTGCACAGAGTTTTGGTGTCTGGCTCGCCACTTCTTGATGGCTTTGAACTGCTGGTTAGCTTGGTGAGACTCCATCCTTGCTAAAGCTTCATCCAGATGGTTTGTCTTCTGGATTACCTGTAAGAAAGTAATTTGTATGATTATTCTTCTCTCTATCCTCACTGTAGCAAACTGAGAAGGTCATCTGCTGTCATTGCTGTAAAGCAATTTTCAAATTTAGTTTTCAACCCAACTGAGACAAAACCCTTACAACTTTATGTTATTATCACCACTCTGTAATCAGCAGTGGCGATACTGGTAAAAGTTAATCAAACTTGACAGACTGAAAAGTGAAGTCATCTTTGTTAAATTCAAGTGCAGAGTTACAACAGACAGTGCTTGGTGCTCTGCTGAAATTGAGACTGCTTCAATCATGCTGCAGACTTCAGATTGCTTCCATATTTTGAATACAATGGCAAATAAAATTGTACATTAGTCTGAAAGTAACTGAGACAAACAAGTGTTGCCACTGGCTCCCTGACAGATATGCCAGATGTTAACCATGTGTTTCAGTCTCCCCTTTACCCCTCATAAATACTTAAGATTTAGGTGTTCTACCTCATAGTTTTCTGCAATGAAAGGAAACTGCTCAGGTTGCAAGAACTGAGTTTTAGGGATATCAAGCCCATCTTCTCCATACAGAAACTGCACCACGCTGCCATCGCTGTCTCGTACAGTCAGGTCATACTGAACTACCAGTCCTTCCAAATGTTTTATGATACACCTATTCCAGAGGGAAAAAAATGGGAAAAAAACAAAAGAGAAGAAAAACGCTGTTAAGAGGCTACAAAGCAATGAGAATGATACAACTCTAACACAAAAACCACTATTTTCATCAACATCTTAAGTGTACTTAAGGGCTGATCAGGAATTCTGGAAGCAAAAATCCCATAGACACAACACTCATGTGAAATGCTTAATCTGTAAAGCTTTCAGCATGCTGCTCCCTCCAGCTTCCTTGGACTATCTAACTTTAAATGAAACAGTAAATTACTCTCCATTTCTGGTGTCCTGCTTTAGCAGTTTTCTGAAAGAAAGGGGCATCCCTCCTTTAGAACTTGTCACTGCCCTCTGACACAATTCAAAAGTTCCATTTTCTTCTATATATGCTGGAGGTGTTGCTTGACTAAAGACAAGAGCCACTAATTGTGGCCAAGAAAAACTAGAGCTGCCTGAACTTGTACACCTATCTGTATTTGTACCAGAAAAAAAGATTTTTGCAAAAGGAGAACAGCTGCTGCTGTTATGTGCCAGAGGTAACTTTGAAATTATAATGTTCCAGTTGATCTAGTTCTCTAGAAAATTTTACTTACAACAAACAGCATTCAGAGTATTGTATAAAAATCAAATACAGTGAAGTTAATCTAAGCAATACAGGCATTTAGAGTCTACAAAACTTTCTCAGAAAAAAAAGAAAATCAGTCAACCAATAAAAGGACCTTTCAAAGACTCCAATTCCAAAGCAGGCCTCTTACCTTTGCAGGTACCCAGAACGGCTGGTTTTGACAGCTGTATCCACAAGACCTTCCCTGCCAGCCATGCAGTGAAAGAAGAATTCCTAAACACAAGCACAATACCATCAGCATCCTGCTAATAAGTGCATTGACACTGGCAATTTATGTTCTTCCTCAAAAGCTTCATATGAAACCAGGGTGAACAAAGTCCATTTATCTATAATTGCAGATACTCTTTATTAAAATACCAAGACTTAAATAAACTTCAATATCAACACAAGCAGTCTTAAACTTACAGAAGGTCTGATTCCAGTGAGAAATCTGCCAGTCACAAATCCTCCTGAGCTAGGGGAAAAGTCATAAGGTTGGAAACATGGCAGTGATTTGCCAGATGCCATCAGTGGGGGTCTTCGGCCTTCCAGCTCAATCTGGCCCAGCAAACAAGAAATCTAAATGTGGGCAGGAAAAAAGGGAACATCACTTTTCCATCCAGCTTTTTGTTCACATAAACTTAGTGATTTTTCTTGAAAAATACAGTAAAAAAAGTCAAATGTTCAGTAAATGCTCTATAGCTCCATGTGGACTTGTTCATGAAATGTTCCAGCTACTGAGGGGCAGAAAAGGCATGGAGATCTCACCTGGCTTTTTAAAGTCATTCCAGTACCCTGACTCATCCTCAACATTACCTCAATACCACATTCTGTATACTTATTTTAACACAGAAACGTGAAACTAAAAATACTGTAGATATTTTTTAGGTCCCTACATTACCCTCACCACCTCTCAGCACTGTACTAAAAACAGAACAAAAACCTCAACCTAAAATGCTCTCCCTTTTGAGCTGTGGTCATTCTCTCCATTTTAGATGGCATTTTTATAGAGTGTCTCTTGCTTGGTGTCTGTGTTGCAAATGGTAAAATGAAAATGTATCCTTCCACTTCTACCAAAACCAAAGATTATGTTGTTCCTATTCAGAAGTTGAAGAAGGAGAGGGTAAGTCTCCAACAGAGGCCAGGAGAAGTTATTTCTCCTACAATAGGTTTGTTTGTATAAACTGTAGCATTCTTTCTCAAAAGCAATTCTGCTATTTCAATAAACCCTCATGTTCTGAGGAGTGATTCAAAAATAGCTTATAATAAACACTGACTCTCTTCCATCACCCACTGAGGTCTTTATTACATTCTTCTTGCGTTTTTCCATGCCAAAGTCCAGACTGAAAACGTTGCTCTGGTATCAGATATCCCCACAAGAGCTTCCCAACAAGAGTTTATATTCTAGGACACACCACATCAGCACACATAGCTGCTAAGCATTTTCTGGTGTCATTACCTGCATTGTGTTTACAGTGGATCCTTTGGCTCCTGACTGCACCATCAACTGCAAATTGTTCTCTGGAAAGCTCCTGTGGAGACCAAGGGGCATGCAAACCTACAGAGTTGTGGGGGAGTGAAGGGAACAAAACCAAACATTATTCCTAAAATAATAAACCCAAGAAATTCCTGTGGAAGGCTTTAACAAAGTGAAACAATAAGGAATCACAAACATTCCTATTTATAATTTCAAAAGCATCTTGAATATTAAACCATCTTCTCACTCAGGGAGGACAAGGCTGAGGAGGAGAGGCAGCATGTGGAGCCCCAAGCTGGGGACAGATGGAAAGCTTCATCCTCCAGAAGAGTCAGGCACTGCTCATCCACATTCATTAACTTAATAAGAAAGTTAAACAAGATTAGCATGCATAGATGCCTCAATGCCAACCTTGTTGACTTCATTGTTGTAATTGTTTACTTCCTCCTTGAATTTCATATCAACCATGTTAAAATCCCTCTGGTCTTTGCAGAGATGGGCATCCTGCCACTTCCCTTGGACCTCCTCACATGATGCTGTTTCTGGCAAATTAAGAGCAGCTCTAACGGCCTGAAAGTAAAATATAGGAATTTTTAGGTGTTAAGCAGGCATGATTGAATAAGGCAGTATTTCAAACATTTTGCATTATGGAAGAAAAAATAAATCTGCAAAACAGACTTACTTCAATACCACTCTGCCTTGACCTTTCAATGATTTTTTTTCTTTTGTGGTCTGCTTCACGTTTAACCAAAATATCTTCAATCCCTGTTAAAGAGGAGAGACAGAACACAATGGTCTAAACTGAAAAAAATCAAGGAAGGAACAACATTTGGTGTCAGGGATTTTGAGTGAAGAGCTGGGAAAGAATGATGGTTAGATTCAGCGCCTGCAGTTGACAAGAAGAAAAAAATCTGAGTAGCTCCTGGCTCTTTAGAGAGCCAGAGAAGTTGTAAGTCATAAAAAAAAAAAAAAAAAAGAGCAACATCAACTAAGCAGTAAGAGTGCAAAATCAACTCCCTAATTTAAGGAGTCTTAACTTCAACAGTCTCTAAAAAATCTAAAACTAATGCTTTATGGACCAGCCACATCAAACTGCTTTTTTCCTTCCATCCACATCAAACTTATTGTTGAACTATTAGATGAACTTTTCACAATCTTAGCATTGTGAAAGCTTTTCTTAGCTTTTTAAAAAAGATAAATTAAAAATACAGATCCTTGAGATGACAGGACCAGGGAACAGATTAAACACTGGAACCTGAACTCCTGTGAGCTGTTTGTGAACAGTACTGTCACAGACACTAAAATAGTCACAAAAATGGCTGTGTCAAAACACCAAATCCCAAACTCCTGCTCCAGTCTCACTTTTCTTCTGATATTTTAACTGCCCAGTGGTCCTAGGCTTGTTATCTTTTCCTATCTAGCTTTTGCACCCTGGCTCTCAGGAGCCCTGTGAGTTACTCAGTCACCTTCCTCACTCCAAAAGAGGCCCTCCCTTTTCCCTGGCTCACAGCAGTCTGTTGGTCCCTCACTACTGCTGAGTGTTGACTGTGTCTCCATAACTCATATAAATTTGAAAACCTGTAATGAAAGCTTTTCAAACTCATTTACCAAAAGTTTTACAGTAAAATGTGATATGCAAGGCTTGATCACCAAGCCCTTGAAGCTCTTTCATCTTGTTTAGTCAGCTGTTCTGCTTTCTATGCAATAATTACTTTTCAGAGAAGCAAAACATGAGGTTTTGATCGAAACAAAATTTCAACACAGGACATATTAACTGTGTACACTTTGGCTAGGCAGGACAGAAAAGAGAAATTGTTGGACATACTCAAGACTCTTTATGCTCCCTTTATGCTTAGAAGGCCAGATATACACCGATAAAAAAAAAAAAGAAACAAGATAAAAAAAAAAGCCTGGCAGCCAGCTATCCCACTCAAGGGCAGTCTAGCAGAATTTAATTCACAGAATTAGCATGTATTATGCCCAACCATGTCTGGTTTAGACCTCAGGAGGTGCTGCAGGTACTCACCCATGGTGAATCCCCTGTACAGCTGCAGGTAAGCAGTGAAGAGGCGCCCCAGACACGTCAGCACCTTCCCACTGGTTTCACCCCCATAGATCTCATAGCAGCAGTGGACCAGCCCATAGGCAGAGCTGCCAAAGTGAGCTTTGTCCAGCACTCCACACAGTAATTCCCCATCTTTGATAATAACCTGAAAAATAAAACACAGCTTTGAATCAGGAAAACAGAAATTTTAATCGTACTACGACCTCTACAGGTTTTTCCATGTAATCTATGTGAAAATTGGTATAGGTTTAAAAAGCTTGCATTTTGGTGAATGGTTAAATGTGGCCAGATTATCTGTAGCAGAAATGAAACTTCTAACAGCACCTGCATTTTTCCACCTATAAAGTCTGACAATGAAGACACATGGTCTAACAAAACCAGATGGAATCTACCTCAGTCAGGACCACAGAGAATTTTTCCTGATTCTACCACCCACTTCTGGCAGTAACTGTTGCCAAATATCTGCTTCTGACTTTGTCATCTGCCTTGTTCCCTTCCCATTCTTTTCCTGTACACACAATTTTAATACAACACAGCCCAGCCCAACCCCCAGAGTTGTTGCATACCTGAGATTCACACATTGAATCAAGATTCAGACATCCTTTTGCAGGTCCCTTCACCCAGGCTCTGCCACCAATTTTTGCTTTCCCAGTCAAATTCAGTGGAGCATGGTTGTCTGGAATGATGTTTATTAACAATGTGGAAACAACCTATAAAGAAGCAGGATGAGGGGCAGGAATTATTTTTTTTTTTTGTATAATCACTTTTCAACATAAAAAAATCTGGCATGAATGAGAAAAGCAATGTCCTGCATGTATTCTTTCCACTGACAGCAAAGTTTTGAAAGCTTGGAAGTCTCACAAGGCAGAAATATCCTCCTGCTACTCCACCCTCTGAAGGATCAGAGAGCTGAGACACATAATTATTCAGAAATATAAAGCAGCAAAGATTTTTACAATACTTAGATGATGTTTACATTCTTGTAACGAACTTTCTCACACGTTTCTGTAAATAATTATTGTTCTACATTCTTTTCTGGAGGAGGAGAAATTTGATGGACTGTTGGTTTGTCCAGTGTCATTGGAGAGGTGGCACTGTCATCCTCCAATCCACTGTCACTTTTGAAAATCTATAAATGTTGGAGTCAGAAGTTAAACTTCCCTTCTTTTACTTTGGAGGTTCCAGCATGTGTGGTTTTATTTCACGTCCTGGAGTGACAGTAAGTTGTGTGCCTCCAGCTCCCAAAATTACTCCCCCTGGATAAAAGCACTTAAGTAATTTCTAAAGAACTCATTACAGCACAGCTCTCTTCTGACACTCGAAGGAACAAGATTGTTTGGATGTGCTGGGCCTTCTTTAGATGAACAGAACCACAAGTGTAGAAAGAACACAGAAATAAACCTCAGAAGTAAGTAAACAGCCTTAAAAAAAAAATCCCATTTATCATGAGACAAAATAAACAAAAGTAATTTCTAGATGCATCTAGAAATAAATTTCTCTGGCAGTTCTACTTGCCTTTGGCACCAGGTACTGTTTATCAGTGATGGCTAAGGTGTAGGCCTCTGCCCTGCCCAGCTCACTCTGTGGGAAATGGGCATTCATTTCATCCCCATCGAAGTCGGCGTTGTAAGCCTTGCAGTTGGCGTAGTGCAGCCTCAGCACCTTCTCCCCGGGCAGGATGCGGGCGCGGTGCGCTTGGATGGAGGGTCTGTGCAGCGTGGGCTGGCGGTTCAGCAGCAGCACGTCCCCGTTCCTGATGTGCCGACACACCTGCCACAGAGATTTGGGTGCTGCCACGAGTGCCTCAGAAAGGACTAACTGATCTTTAAACACACATAGATTTAAACTATCTTCTTTCTGGTATTCATGCTCTGTGTAAAACTCAGAGAGAATCAAGATGGTTTGGTCCTGAACGCCCTCTGCTCGCCACCAAACAACCATTCCCCACTAACCCCCAAACCACAGTGATCAAATCAATCAGGTCTTCATCCAAACCCACTGGGCTGAACTGATACCTCCCATTATATACCCAGCCCTGGACACCCTAGACTAAGGTAGTAATATGACACAGTAGCTGAAGCAGAGACCAGGAGTCTCTTAATTTCAGCTCTGAGAACAACACAATACATCCTTATCTAAAACAGAGTTTCTCAGAACAGTCTCATTTTAATTTTTCTGTTAGCAACATCCAAACATCCACTTAAGTAATTATCAACGAGAGTATGGTAAGTTGTTTGTACAATCTAAATACTGTTATGTTTAACTCTGTGACAGGTTCTGAAAGAACTGACATCACAGAAATATTCAGAATTAAATTTCAAATCTCTGCTAAGCCTTTACGAGAGACAAGGTAATACAACAACGTAAAAACACTATTAAATACCAAAACTTTTGCCCTAGTAGCTAAATAGTGCTTTTTCAACTCTTGCAAGGGACAGTGATACAGTTAAGAAGTTGCAAAGGTTGATCAAACTGTAGCACAGAGGAGAAACAACTGACATAGAATTAGGTTGGAAAAGACCTCTAAGATCATGGAGCCCAAATAAGCCAGCACTGCCAAGGCCACCAAGACTGCTCTGCATCTTGCCATGACGAATGCCACACACTGTGTATTAGTATAATGTAAAGGAATGAAAAATGGGGTTTAGAATTTGAAAAAGCACCATGTTTTTGCTCCTGCCCCCTGAACCAGAGATGGAGGAGGACTCAGCCCATACTCACAATCTTCAGGCCTGTCTGGGGTGCCCCTGAGGAGGGGGTGAGGAGCTGCTTGGCGATGGCCTCGCGCTGGGTCAGGCTGGTGGCGCTCAGCACCGTGCGAGACCCGTCCTCGTTAATGACCATGGAGGCCCCAGGGTGCACCTTGGGGCCATTGATGACAGCCTGCCTCAGCTCTTTGACATTCCAGGGAGTGACTGGCTGAGGATAAGTCAGTTTGGTGGCAAATACCTAGACAGGAAGGAAGAGAGGAGAGAAATAACATGTTGTTCAATTTTGGCTTAAAGATCTAAAAGCCACTGATAAAACAGCATCAAAAATTAAGTAGTAAATGCAATGATAGATTACTTGAAGCTCTTGAATGCATCTCCTCCTCAGTCTACTCTAGTGCCAAATAAATACATTTCTGCTTTAAAAACCTCTACCACAAGAATAGAAACAATATTCCTTTCACTATTTTCTACTGTGGTATAAAACTCAATTAGCAATTAAAGAAAGCAATCATGGATTTAGATTCTGCAAATAAGCCAACAAATACAGAGAAAAAGCACATTATCATCAGGTTCACTATTTTCTGCAAAGACAAGATAACGAAAAACAGTTTCAGGCTTGTTGTCATCTCCATGTAGCCAAAAATCCTTAAGGATGGATGAAGTTGGTAACATCACAGCCTTCTCTTAAGCCTACAATACCTAAAAAAAATACCTTGTACAAAGACCACAGGAGGAACAGGATCTACTTTTGAAGTTTCCACCAATTCCTACTCCCACAAAGCAAGTGCAGCTTTTTCCTTTTTTTTTTAAAAAAAAAATCCTCTTTCTCAGATGTGGTATTCTTGTTTTGTAACAGTAAAAATCTCCTGCTCTTCAGTGCTCCCTTCCTTATTAACACTGGGCACGAAAGAGTTCAGATGAGTCAGAAACCCTCTAGATTTTAATCTGCTCCCAAATTGCCAGTAGTGCAGTTCAGTCCTCAGCTGCACCAGGAGGACACAGTCCTTTATCCATGCTCACCATGGGGATGCCAATCTCGTTGGTCCCAATGTACATGTCGGGGCAAATGACGGATCGAGCAGCGAAATCCACGCGCTTCCCCATCATGTGCTTGCGGAACAGCCCTTCCTTCTTCTCCAACAGCTTGGAAAACAGAAGGGAACAATTAAAACCTGCAAGCACGTGTCATGCTGTTCTTGTAAGTTCTTCTAAGCCTTCTGATGTCTACATTTTTGTAATGGAATTTCTCACACACTTTTCATGTAAATAATGATTGTTTTGCATTCCTTTCTGGAGAAGAGAATTGATGGACTGTTGGTTTGACCAGTGTGGTTGGAGAGGTGGCAATTTCATCCTCCAATCCATGGCCACTTTTGAAAGTCTATAAATATTGGAGTTAAGAAATAAACTGCCCTCTTTTTACCTTGGACATCTCAGCTTGTGTGTATCACTCATTTCGTGTCCTATTGCGACAAATATGGAAAACCAGATGGATTCTTGCCATGATGAGTGGCATGAAAATGCCCATGTACTAATCACAAATAGTTCACTTTTTTCTTACTCCATCAGCTTTTCTTTTTTAATTAAGACTCCACCTGCTACCCACCTGACGAATACCAGGGTATTTTTCTGTTATCAGCTTGTCCATGTCACTGTCAAACACAATGTTGACATGGCTCTGGAGACGTATCCAGGCGTTGTACAGCTTATCTGCAATGCTCTGTCCTGGAATTGTGGTCAGCACAGAACGGTCCAGAGGTTCACTATCCTCTCCTGTCTCCTGCAGAAACAGAAATTAGAAATTTGGACAGAACAAAAAATATCTTCTACTTACTTACTGGTATTAATTACAGTATTAAATATAGCAAAAGAAACATTCACCATTATTTTGCACTGGTTGTCAGTCCATGTTAGGAATCACTGTAACTAGAAAATCCTATTCTTAGTTAAAATCTCTTGGATTTACATTATTTTTATCACTTACATCACTTTGTTTTCAGTCTAAAAGCCACTAAATCAGTCACATCCAAAATTCACTGACATCCTGTCAAATGTTTTAAGAACAGATCTCCATCTAGTGGCTACATTCTGAGTAACTAACAGTGTTTCCAAAATGTTTTACACTGAAGATGTAAATCAAGTTCCCCTGAAACTGAGCCCAGTGTCAAAGACCCCTCAATGATACAACTGATGAACAAATATGGAATGAGGCAAGCTGAATGCATTATTATTTACACAATACAACTATGTGAACTGTCAGAAGCAGACAAATATTGTTACTAACTATATTATTTGTGAAGTTTTGCACCCTACTTAGACATCAACTGCCAAAAAATAAACACTGGCTCCACAAGGCTTAGAAGCTGAAGTGGCCTTTTCCCCCCTCTTTTCATGTGTTGAGCTGCTGGCAAAGTTTAATTGTGAACTGTTTGTGCTGTACATATTTAATTCTCTAGAAACAGGAGCCTGTTATGTCTCACATACAAAAATCCATGGCTAAGAGGATCTGAGCAAAATGTTTTTTCCTTTTACCCCAGGTAGAAAACAGCAGAGGGAAAAAACCAAACAAGGTATGGAACATCTCCACCAGCAGATATTCCAACCTCAGGCAAAAACTGTTACAGGAACAGCTTAAACAGAAGCCTTCCTGAATTCAACCCACCCATCCAAAGAAATAAACAATAAGACAACCAGTAACTCTTACTGTTTGAATTTCTTCTGTAAATTTTATTGGCTGACACTGTTCTTTGGCCATGAAAACCAAGAGCTTCCTTATCAATTGGGCATCTTTCATCACAGCCTGCAAGTTCACAGTCTGCCCGTTTGTGAACAGGCGATCTCCAAGGCGATTTACAGGACGATACCTACAGCAAATTAAAATCACTTCAGAGGATTAAACCCACTCAAAAGCAGCATGATAAACCCCAAATAGTCTAAGCTAAATCTTCAGTGCATGGAAAATAATCCAAACCAACAGTGGGCATTTATAAATTCATATATTCTACTGGGACAGTCATAAAAGATGAATGATCCTTAACAAGAAATTCTATCAGTACTATGCAGTTACAATATTCTATAATCACTTAAAATACTAATACTAAAATATATGTTTTCCATAACTACTATTTCAGTCTTCTAACTAACTCACTTGAAGTTACACTAGAACTTATCAACTACTAGTGTGATTTTTATTATTTAAACACTCTACTGACACTTAAGCAGACCAGTGTCTGTACTACAGGAGTTTGGATCTCCAACTCCTGCAAAGGGTGCACTAAATCCTGTGATTTCTACAAGATTTTGGTGGAATAAATTTTACCTTGAAGGTGGAACCACAAGCAGATCTAAAAAAAACATGTCTGGACTGAATCCTGAACTATCATTGGGATCCATCCCAGGGAAGAGATAACGAAGAAAGAAACCTAAAAAGAGACAAAAGAAATATAAACTCATTCTCATTGCTGTTGTTTGGCTATCCAAACCCCCAGATGCACTTGGTCAACAAGTTAAAAGAATCTGCTAAGTTAACACTACTGAGCTTGTTTAAAATAAAAACATTCAGACACGGTTTAGAAAGAATTGCCACTCTTTTTTTTTGACACATATGAAGTATTTTAGAAACAACTCTGGACAGAAATATAGATTATAGCAAATGGAGAAAGCAAAACTAGAGGAATAAAGGTTCCAGTAATGGACTGTGACTGATTCACAAAAGTGCTTTGGTTTCTCCTGGCAACTGCAGACAGATTCAGAGTACAGGCAACCCAAAAGAGAGGCTGATAAACACATTTTCAGTCTTTAACCAGTGTAACTGTGGGGTGCAGCACCATAGGAAATCACAGTCTCTGCAAACACCTGTTGTGATTTGTGGGGACCCACAATTTGAGAATAAATTATCAAAGTATCAACTGAATCCAGGTCTCTGCATTCACTGGCTGCCAGTCCTCCTGTCACAAAACTTATATTGCAGCCAGAAGCCCTTAAGGCAAAAGGCAAAGATTTGACCAGGAGTTCATACTGGAACATTTGCAGATTTGTCCACTAAATAGTACAAAAAATGAAGTAATGTTGCTCTTCACAACCATTACCTTCATTCTTCCACAGAGCCAGGATGTATTCCTTGGCAGTCATTGGTGTCAGGTATCCTCTCTTCCCTAACTGGCTTTCATCAATACCTGAAAAGTAAAAAATAAAATTAAACTAAAATATTTATGGAAAAAAAAATCTCAAGACATTACTCTGAAAGGTTTTGGGGGTTTTTTTGCTTACAATGGTGCTTCTAGCTCAGAGAAGGAATGGAAACACAAAATATACATACAAAATATACTGGCTGACACCTACATCAAAATTATAATTTAAATGTTTGCTTTGGGAATATGAAATTAAGTAAAAAAGAAACCATCTCTGTGCCTAGTGAATATGAATATAAATAACAGAAATAAACGTATTTTATCTAAACATCTAAAGTTTATGCTTTTTTTGACTTATAGTGAGCTGGAACCTTCCTTCAAATGATCTCATCCCCTGACCAAAAAAGTCTCGGCCAAATCAAGTCTCAGCCTGCAGCTGGGGAAGCTTTCAGTGGGGTTCAGGCACTACCAGGGAGGTATCAAGGGTCCCATTAAATACTCAGCTGAAGGAGACAACAGCACCATCCACATTACAGGTGAGTGTCTGGCCTACCTCTGCTTTGGAGAGGAAGGAAAACACATGGCTTTGTTACTAAAAAGCAAAAAGATTAATTATTTTCAAAACAAAGCCAGAGATTTTAGCTCTCAATTTCCACAACTCGATGAAAAGCAGTTCTGCCACGACCTCAGACAATTTCCTGTTCTTCTTCTGGCTTAGATCCAGAAATGCAATTATTGCACACTGAAAGTTCAATTCTCCATTCACCTAGAAAACCTTTCCATCCCTCAAACAGAAATGCATCAATGCCAAGGCTGAAGGTACTCCTTTTGGGACTTTGTGCATAGCCTGTGCATGGTTATCTAACTAACTGTGTGATCCATCCCAGCTCAGAATACAGAATACTTCCCATTTGGCCTCTTCAGCTACAGCTCCAGAGATTTAATCTAGTATCTAAATCAGAGAGTAGCAAAAAAAATAAACTCTACAGAAACCTTTCCTAAGGGCTAAATAACACACATAAATGTCTGCTTCAATTCTGTCTCATTGTGTAAAGGATCAAGGATATGAGAAGGAAAAGGAGGTTCAAATTTATTCAAACAATAGGTTAATTAATCCTGGAAAGTGCCACCTACTTTCTTTTTTGTCTTTTACTCTTCAAGAGGAAATTCATTCACAAGAGTTAGGATAATGTGATTTTCTTTCTAAAGTTGGTCATCTTCCTCCTAATTAATTTTACCCGTAGTTACCCTGTTTAAAAAATCCAGCAGAAAATCAGCTACCTGCCAAAAATGAAGTGCCCCAAAACCGCCCTAAAGCTGACAAAGATTATGCTGTTGTACTTCCTTTCCTGACACAGAGACACTTGAAGCTGCAAAAGCACAAGAGGCTCTCAAACAGAAATTTAATGGAATTGGGTTCTCTCTGACTCTGAGCTTACTGGTTTAGTTATAATCAGTATTTTTTATAAATGAGTTCCAAGTGCACAGTCACTGCTAAGAATCTGTGCCCCTTACATGCAGGGGAAAACTGCAAACATATCTGAGTAGAAGACAAATATTTCACCTGCTGTTTCATCCAGAATGCCTTCCTCTCCTGACTTATGGTACACTGTAGAAGGATAGGTTACTGTCAGCTTGCTGTTGTGCTCCTTTCGCACCAGTGATCTCCTGGATCTTAAAGAGAAAAAAAAACCCAAACAGGACAGGCAGACAAAAGGTTAATATAAATACAGCATTTAACTAGAAACCAGCTTCCTCATGTAGTTAAACTCACTTGCAGTTTGGGCATTTCTTTGAAGCCATGTGTGCTTTCCAGAACTGTGATATCAGTTTATTTCTACACTCACACACATTTTTGACCTGAAAGAAAAGGAAAAAAATTAAAAATAACGATTATAATTTAAAAAAAATTAAAACATGCTATATGAAGAATTCATTAACCATTACACAATTAACATTACAACACGAACATTATTAGTATCAATGCACACACATCCATGCACTGATTAATTCATGCCTTGATCTGTAGTGTTCTTTCATCATCTTTGCTGGAGGCATACATCCCTCAGTGCTCTCCAAGCTCCTTTTGCAATTTATTCCATAAAGTCTTTAATTTTCAAGTCAGTACTGAAATTTAAAGCTTTTCTCTAATGATGATTTAGGTAAGTATAAAAATGACAAAAACCACTTCTTTTGACAGCTCATGAATGTATGATTTACAGAGTGCTTAAGCATAGTTTTTAAGCAAGTGATCAAGGAATTAAAACTGGCTTATAAACAAATCTGTTGAATGACCTTAGTAAGTATCTTCTTCACCCACCTTTACTAACCAAGTATATTAAACTACGTTTAAATGGAAATTAGAATTCAATTACACAAGTCTTCCTAAAAATGTCACTGTAATTAATTCTGCAAGTTTGCTGGATACATGAGTTCTCAAAATGTGTTCTGCAGCATCAGAGCAGTATCAGCATCTGTGGGTGGTGTATTGACAGCAGTATCAGATTCTAATATGGTATTTACACCATCAAAACACTTCCCTACACAGACATTTCCCTATTTTTCAGAAATTCAACAGTTACACTAATGGAAAATAAAATCCTTTTAAAGTTTAATTTCAGATATTTCCCTCAAAAAGCCCTTAAACATAACACAGTTCAGAACTGGACAAAATCCAGCACCTACAAAGTCAGGCTTTGCTCTGCACATCACTTTTTTAAGAGGATAAAGCCCAGGATCTCAGGAGAAGCCCTGCCTGTACTTACATTTGAGCACCGATCCCTTATTTGAGAGCTCTGTAACATTTCCTGCACGTGGCGATTCAACTCTTCCTCAATTTCTGAGCCTGTTGCATCTGCACACTGCTCTACAAACTACAAGGAACAGAAGAAGAGGAGTTGGCAGAGAGCTTTACAGCTGTGAGACCACGAACTGCAAAAGGGCTGGAGCACCACACAGTACTTGCCCTGTTCAGAACGATTTCGAGGTCGTGGACAGCGTGGAGCAGCCCTTTCTGCAGCACCTTCAGCTGGCTCAGCAGCAGGTGAACCACAGCTCGAGGGCAGGTCAGCATGTGGCAGTTCAAACAGGAGCCTCGGATCAGAAGGTACAATTTCTGGAAAGGAAGGGGGAAGGAAAGGTTATCCTGGCAGATGTACTGGCTTGCACAGTAAGGAAGTAAATGCAACTGTTTGGACTTAAAGAGAGTGCTATTATAATTGGGAAATTAGATTAATGGTTCATTTTAATCATAAAGAATTTGCTTGAAAAAAATTGATTTCAACCAAACTCATATGCAAAGCATGATCTGTAGATAAACTCTCTGCAGGCTGTCTACTATCAATGCAGAGCAATCCCAGTGTAGGGAATAATGTGCATTGACTCCATGATTCAGAAGGCTGAACAATTGCTTTATTAAACTATACTATATTACACTAATACGATACTAAATTACAAACTAAAGAGATGCTATACCAAAGAATACTAAAGAAAAACCTGTGACTGTCTGAGACAGGCAGGACACAACTTTGACCCAACTGGCCAAGGAATCAAAAGAACCTTCACCAGTGTCCAGTAACAAATCACTTTGGGTAAACAATCTCTATAACACAGTCCACATGTGCAAAACAAGAGCAGTGAATAGAGATAAGAATTGTTTTCTCTTCTTCTCTGAGCTTCTCACTGCCTTCCCCACGAAAAATCCTGGGAGAGAGTTGTGCCTGCTGCTCTCTGTGAAGAGAGCTGTGGCCTCAGATACATTAAACACTTGTGGTATCTACAGCAGCTCTGGGACCCAGGCTGCTCTCACACTGTGACTACAGCTCCTGATAGCTCACCCCACAGAGGACAATGTGGAACCCAAACCCTCACACTAGTAAAATGAAACATCCTGGTCTCAATCCTACCAGATCCTTCACACAATCATGTTTTCCTCAAGGTCTGGGAAATTATCAGTTGGTTTTATTATTTAGCACAGCTCTGTGTTATTAATTAACACAGTTCTCTCACTCCCCCCGTGGCCTGAAGGCTGGGAATTACTGCTGCAGGATTTTAATCCTTGGTCAATACAGTTATTTTACTCAAAGCTGGAACAAGGCTAGAAGTGGGTACCTCATCTAACTTTGGCCACTTGAAACTGAGGTTTTGACTCTCAATTAGTAGCCTGTGCAAAAGGCAGCTATTGTAAATGGTGAGATGAGCACCTCAAGAGGAAAATTCATCCCAGCTCAGGTTTGTTAAAAACTGGAAGAGTAGACAGCTGTTCACGTGCAGTAGTTGTTTAAAGGAAATGGTAATTTTTGCTGTGCCATTCATTTAATTAAAGCATGACATCCTGCAGTCAGTCACACACTTCAGGATGAACATCCCCCCTCACCTGCCTGTCAATATTGAGTAAAACAACAACAAATGCATACCTTTCAAAAGGTCTCTTTGTATTGAACTATCACGACACAACAAAGCTTTTCTACTACACCTGCTGTTATTACACTTAAAAGAGAAAACAGATCTTGGCACCTTTACTGTTTCCAAGGACTACATGAGAGCTCGGGCACCACCAGCCCTTTCCCCAGCAATAATTGAGTGTACATACATCGAAGAACAGGGGGTTGTACACAGGCAGAGGCAGCTCTATGTGGCCAAAGTGTCCGGGGCAGTTGCTGAAGTTCTGCATGCAAGTGGCGCACACTTCCCTGGAGTCGGGGGGTCCCAAGGCCAGGTCGTAGAGCCCATTCACAGCGGGATTGCCCACGTTGTCCAGGTACTGCGGGTTCGTGATGGGCTTCACGCTCAGCTTCCTGAAGGGGAAAGGAGAGAGCAAAAACCAACCGCAGTGAACAGGAGTGTAATACGCACTTGAACGGCATAACTACCATGGGCATTTAGGATCTGTGTGATCTTCTCAATCGATGAAAACATCTTTCTGAGGGTATTTTGCGAACGCGATAGGAATTTGTGTATTACTGATTTCATGATACAACGAGCAGAATCATTCATATAGCAGCAAATATTTCTTTTACGTGACTAGCCACTCTACTAAGAAATCACATCACTTTGTCAGTGTGTCCCCTCGAGCGGTGCGAGATTTTGTATAAAACTCGGCTATACCGCCATCCCGGCGGCTGGGCCACGGCCCAACTGGACTACGTGTCCCAGCATGCCGCGCGCCACAGTACACCGCTGCTCCCCAGCACCCTGCCGCGGGGCACGCTGGGACTCGTAGTGCCCAGCAGCACCCACACAGCTCGGGACGCACACACATGGAGGCTCACCGGATCTCCTCGGCCGTGTACATCCCGAAGGACACCCCAACCAGCCGCCGCCACGGCACCACTTTGGGCGGCCTCATGGCGAACGAGCAATTCTTTCCCGGCCGACAGCGGCTCCCGCTCTCCCTTTGGAAGCGCCGCGCCACGGGCAGCACCACGCGGTCCGGGCAGCGGGGGGGGGGCGGGGCCGGGCGGTACCACCGCCGCAGAGAGGCGGTACCGGCGTCTCCCCCGCTGGAGGAGTGGTGTCGTCCGCCTTCCCAGAGGCCAGCGCGCCGGGGCGGCATGGCGGCGCGGCGGGTCGGGGCTGGCTGCTGGCAGCGGGCGCTGTGGCTGGGCCGGCCGTGCCGCCTCCCGGGCGGGTTGGAGAGCTACCGGTGAGGGGCTGCCGGGAGGGAAGGATCGGGTGGTGGTGGAGGCGGCACCGGGGAGGAATCGACGGACGGGCAGTGCTGGGTGTGCGGGGAGTGAGGCGGGAAGGGCTGCGCAGGCGCAGTGCGCGGTGGCTCGGCGTGGTCGGGCGGCGTGGCAGGCGGGAGCGCCTCTTCTGGGGTTTTTATCTGCTTTTGAACGCCTTTCCCGGGGATCTTCCCTCATTTGGGACGGCTCGAAGTCTCCCCGAGAGAAAGTTCGAGGGTTTAAGCGATTCCTAGAGCTGAGTCTCACGAAAAAGGAATGAGCACTTGGCTACGGAGGCTCAGGAAGCTGAGCTGTTCATCCTGGGAAGGGAATTTCGCATACAAACCCCAAAACTGTGTGCCAGTGTCTGAAGGGGCCTGCCAAGAAGCCAGAGTGGGACTTTTCGCCAGTAATTGTAATGATAAGAGTAACAAGGAATAATGAGTACAGATCGAAAAAGGAGAAGTTTAGATTAGTTATTGGGAAGAATTCTTTTATTGTAGGAGTGGTGAGCTCACAGGTTGCTCAGCGAAGTTGTGGATGCCCCAACCCTGTCAGTGTTCGAGGGCAGATTGGATGGGGCTTGGAGCAACCTGGTCTAGTGGAAGGTGTCCCTGCCCAGCAGGGGTGGAACAAGGTCGTAAAGGTCCCTTCCAGCACTTTAACATTCCGTGATTCTGTGCAATGGTTTTCTTTAGGGGCTGTCTCAAATGAAAAGGTCCCACTTGACTCATAATCGTTACTCATTTTTGGGATGGCAAAATCATACTTAATCAGTGTGTGAGGCTTCCCAGGAGCAGCTGGAATTGTGCAGTGCCACGGTAAAGCACAGAGCTGTGGCTGCACCTGAACAGCCTCTCCCTCAGGGTCAAGGTCAGTGTGGAGGCACCGAAGGCCAGGGCTGCAGTAAAGCTTTACTGTTGGGTTGCTTCATGAGCAAAACGAGTACAAGCATTTTAACATAAGCCTAGTTTGTGTTGAAAGCAGTAAAATGTGAACAGTGGTGAGCAGGACTTGAAGCAGTGAGCACGAAGCAGCTGTTTTGTGATGCTCAGCAAAGTGAGTCCGTGTGTCTGAGTGTGCTGCAGCTCTGGTTTTGTGAGGAGATTCTGCACCTCTGTAGAGACATCTGGACATCTGCAACTCTGCATCCTTGCTCTGGGTTTTCTCCTTCTGTGAACACTACTCGTGTCTAAAGTTGTTTTTGGTTGGGTTTTTTTTTGCTGTTTTCAGCGTGATCCTGTCTCCAAAGCATAAAGAATCTTTTCTCATTTATGTCTGTGATTTTCTTTCTAAGATGCACTAGTTCATGAAGACTACTTTAAAAATGTTATACCCCAATATGAAGTAATCAGATTTTTTTGGTAGTAAAATTTTTCACGTACAACCAGTTGTCTTTTGAAATGAGGGCTTTAAGAGAAGCATCAGATATAAGTTTTGTGGTAATAATTTGGAGTTAATAACACTGCAACATTGCCAGTTACTCCAATGCACTCCAGTTCTCTCTAATGTTTTAGTTAATTCTAACCTGCAGTATAGAATTTCACTATTCTACTTTTGCTGTATTACTGTGACTGCCATAAATCCAAACCCCTGGTTGTTCATAGGAGCTCTTCGAGTAGTCCTGCTCTTGGGAAGACTCTGGACAATTCACAAGGTAAGATGACTTCATTACTGGTTCCTTGCATGTGTTCTTTGATCTCCAAACAACTCAGTGTGTCAGGAGATAAAGATGATGTAAACACCCTTTTTCCTCTTCTTGGATTTTCTCTCTCCCTTTCTTCATTGTGCAGAAGTTTCCTGGATTAACTTGATTCCTTACCTCATCACCAAGCAGCTCCATGCTCCAAGAGCATGAACTGAGTTGTGCAGCTCCAGGAGCCTACGTGCGACTGTAGTTTTAAAATCCTTGTTTTAGTACTCTCAGCTGGATCAGTTTAACTCATCAATTCTTGTAGAATATAGAATTTCTGGGGTAGGAGCAGCCCTCTGAGTTAGTGGAGTGCAGCTCTTAACCCAGTACTGCCAAGGCACCTCCAAACCACGTCCCTGAGTGCCACATCAACATGTCTTAACTCCCTCCAGGGATTGTGACTCCCCACTCCCCTCCTCCAATGCTTCACAAGCTTTTCAGTGAAGACATTTTTTCCTAATATCCAATCCAAACTTCACCTGCTGCAACTTGAGGCCATTTGCACTTGTCCTATCACTTGGGAGAAGGATTGACCCCCACCTTGCTACAACTTATGGGGTCAAAATTTTCTTTGGGCATCTCTTTGTTTCTAATGACCATTTTAATATTGTTAATTCTAACCTGCAGTAACTCAAGAAGAAATTGTACTCCCTCGAAGGAAAACATGGTGAGTGTTTACTTTTGGAATCTTCACTTGGAAAAAAAAAAATCTGTGTTAGGCAGCTAAATGTAGTCTGTCCACCAAAACTGAAAAAGAAAGTTGAGGTTCCTGCATTCCTTGATGCAATGTCCCACTAGGGGTTTTCCTGCTGGTTTGGAGCTCTGAATATTCTTGATTCTTACTGCAGATTATGTACCCGACATTCCTGACATTTCTTTTAAAAGCACTTACAACGACTGCATTTTAAGCATGGTTCTATTTCTTTGTAGAAGATCACATTTGCTAAAGATCTGTAGAACCAAGTTCATTTGGCTGTTTGCATGTGAAAGTGTTTCTTCCAGCAAAATAAAACTTGATTGTTCATACCTGACTGAATAAATCCTCCTTAGAAATCACACAACTGAACAAAACGTGTTTTGTTGGGAGCACTTAAAATGGAACTGCATGATGTACAGCAAAAATTAAGTTTATGGTCAAATGGTGTCAGCATGTAAACCTAAAGTAAGGCCACCTTCACCTAAACACTTTCACTGGCCTTTCCTTGTTTGCTGAAACAACCAAAGTCTTAAGGTTGCACAGGCACAGGAGTCCTGAGATACCTGGTTTTGCTTTGGTTTATTTTTTCTTGCAAAGACATGTCTTGTAGAATGACTTAATATATTTGTCCCTTGGAGATGCTCTAGGAGCAGCATTCCAAGGAATTATTTTTGTGTCTCTTCCCTATGATCTTTCTTTGATAGTGTGTGATAAGGGCAGGAGTAATAGCTGTATAAACACAGATGCTCTTCTGGTTTTCCTCAGAATCTTTTTTTTCCTGGAGCTGTTTAAGAACTGAGGCCATTTTTGCATTTTCTCTTTCTTTGTGGGAAGTGATGTTTTCTTAGTGCAGTAAAAACATTATTTCCTAGAATTTAAAATCCTTGTGGGCTAGGATAATCCTGTGCTTGTTCTCCAAACAAAGTAATGCACAGCATTCAAAGTCTGCAGCTGAGAATTAATCCAGTTCCTTTGTGCCTAGGGATAAGCTCGCTGTGCTCCAGACCTTGGCTTCTACTGTGAACAGGGTGAGTGGTTCTGTGGGCCTGGAGATGGGTCAGGGTGTCCATTCTGTGCAATACCCTTGTGCTCAGGAGGCCTTTAATTTCTGCTTTGGCCATAAACGAGAGATGGGACTCACACCAGGGTTTTCCCTTTGGCTCAGGGTGTTCTGCTGTGTCCTTAAAGCCTCATTCATGTGCTAAGAGAGAGCTGCAGTTACCAGAGAAAGCTGCAGTGCTTTGGTAAGGCTTTCACTAACATGGGGAGAAAGTTCCTTCCCCACTTCAGCTTCCCAGTCCAGAATGTCCTTCCCAATCTCAGTCCAGAAAAGCTTTAAAAAGTGCAATGAGTGTCTGCTCTTGCTGGGCAAAACCTGGAAATGCTGTGATGCTGTTCTTAAATCCCATCTATCTTGAATTCTGGGAATTGAATCAAAAGTTGCCAAGTCCTATCAGCTTCCCAGGACTGTTACACTTGGAGTCCTACTTGTTTTGCAGGGCACTTAATGCTTGTTATGTTATAGAAAGGACCCTTTTTGTCATCATATTAGCCTGCAAGTGTGTGTGTTTAAAATGGAAATATTTTTTAAACCATTTCCAAACAGGCTAAACCTTTTTGAACAAGAGGAACTTCTGTAAAATGTGCATTGGTGATGGTTATGATGGAAGAATTCTTTGTGCCCTAAATTCCATGAGGAGGTGTGTTGTGGCTGTGCATGTAACTATAAACTTCTCATTGCTGGGCTCTTCTTTCTACAGGATCCTACTGCTGCTCATTACATGTTCCAGGATGACCCTTTCCTGATGCCAAGAAATGCAGCTAATTCTGTAGGTATTTCCTTTCACATCCTTGATAGCTTCCCTCCTGCCTTTGTCTAGGCTGTGAATGCTCCTACCTAATTGAAGCCTGGTTTTGATTACAAAAGAAAATGAGGTATCAGATTGCTTTCAGAATTTTATATTCTCTCTAAAATGAGATGATTTTGAGCTTGAGGTAGTAGTGCAGCATTTCAGATGTCTGAACTATGACTCTTGACTGAGTAACAAGGAAGTAGAATACAATGGCATTTAAAGAATAGAGATTCTTATACTGGCATGAATACCAGAATGTTTACCTGGAATGTTGTCCCTGAGATTCTAGTAAGTTGAAAATGATATGAGTTTAATTTGATCCCATCAGAATGTTCATTGTTAAAGAAAATGTTTCTTCTAATTCTCAGCCTTGTAATTTGTGTATTTCTCTGTCTTGTTCTGTCTCATTTCTATGTAGCGTCTGTATTCATTGTCAAAGGAGTCTGGGAGGAATGCTGCAAAATACATCATAAAGAACTTCCCTCAGTATTTTGACAAGACTTTTGCAGAGCCCAACGTAGCAGTAAGCTTTTGTTCTTTATTTTCATTGTATTTGTGCTTTGTCACTGAAATCTACTGTTGGACTGGTCCAAAACTAAGATAAAAGGGTAACTTTTAAGCTGTTTTATGGACAGTATTAATACAGTACTGTATTTCCATTATGTTTTTTGTGGTGGACATTTTTCCTTTAGAGTTCAGTATCATGTCAGGTTCTTGAGATAAAAGCAAG